GATTCAGTACCAGTATGCCTCTGAACATAGTAGCTTATATTTCTTCTCCAGGTGTGTTCTGTTGTGGACTTCCATGGGCACTGTATTATTCACTAAGTGAACAATATACTAGATAGGTAGGAATTCGAACTGATTCAGCATGACTATTTTGTGTTATTGCCAACAGTTCGGACATATTCATGCATGTATCCATTGTAGACAGAGTTACCTGTATACAGCCCAGAAAGTCGTGCTTGAAATTATTGCGTGCTGTTCTATCTATCTATCTATCTATCTATCTATCTATCTACCTAATAAAATAAATAAATAAATAAATATGTATAATTTTGAATAGTGAGGCAAGAAAGAATGAGGAGAAGCAAGGATTTATCCCAGTTTTGCATATTTTACCCAAGGTTGAAGCTCCTCATAGACCTATTGCTTTTTAAAAATCAAGCTGTTTTTACTATGGACAAAAAGTTATAACAAACAATTGAAGATGACTTTAGATTATCAATTTACAGCAACAGCAAATGCAAAAACATGGTAAACAAAATCCCTTAAATGAACCTGTCATAAGCTGCTTTTTAGGGCCTCCCAAAGTAATGAGAGTTAAAGAATTGCAAGATGCAAGATAGCAATATTTAAGCAAATACTAGAAGAGCGACGATATAGAGAGAATTGTTCCTTATTAAATTAGACTTCAAGCTATTTGCAGATTAAACAAGAATGGCCTTACAAAGAAAGTTCTGAAGGCTTGTATAAATGTGGAGAGCAAAAGTGAGGCGGGAGGACATTAAAAGGATTATCCTTTCCCATATGAACTTACCCATAGTATAAAGATCTTATACCCTTCTTTCAGGGTTCCAAGAGAAGGCGTTAACTAGTGCAGCAGTCATTTACAACTTATGGCTGTCCAGATATTTTTGGCTACAACTTTTATCAGCCCTAGCCTGAATAATCACTGGTGATGGATAATGGGGGAAGATAAGCCAAAACTAGCAAGCTATTTGCCCCCATGAAGAAAACCTCTGTGAAAACAGTATGTTTAGCAGTAAAGTCTAGACTTTCGAACTCTCTTCCTAAGTAACTTGTTCCATCCTTGTGGTGCTGGCCTTTGCCCACCAAAAAAAAGGGGGAAGAAAACATTTTCTGCAAAATGAAATTAAAAAGGGGGATGCATGCTGAAAATCAAAGGGATCTGTTCAGTCTGAAGGCATCAAAGAAGCAGTTGATCCTGGCAAACACAGTTCAGTCGGACTCGGGCACTGAGTCCATTCTGCACCTTTGTGATCCTGGAATGTGTGACAGATGGGAAATGATTACTGAGACAATCAAGTGAGAATTATGGTCTGAAAAAAATGCAGTTGAAGCTGCAAATTAACTCCAGTTCAATGACCTGATGGTCTATCCTACCCTTAAAGGGAATAGTATTTCATTTCCTTGATAACAGTAATGGAATGCAATGCATTTTCACATCCCCCAACTGAAGCATCTCTTTCAGTTATGCATATATTCAATACTAGTGCCATACTAGTTGTTTCTGAAATCAGGTTCTGGATACTTTCAGCTAACAAAATGTACAATTTTAGAAACCATTTGTACTTTTTCAAATTGTCAAGATTTCTAGGGGTTCAGTTCCGATATGGACTATGTTTGCAGAAGACCTTTTATGAGTTTACTGGCCATGATTGTTTGTCATGTTGTACAAACCTGACCAATTCATAACATGTCATCCCAATAACTTAACAGCTGGCTTTTGATCCAGATTCTGATCCCCAAGTGGAGTTGCTCTCAAAACCATTTTTTCAACACACATAAATTTGCTCAATAAAACCTTTTATTTTAAAAACTTTTAGCTACACTTGTGCAGCTATTTAATTTGAAGTCTTGACTGGAACAATGACCTGGAACATTTCAGCTGTCAAACTGCAGCAGGTATGGGTACTCTGAACATTGTCCAGATCTTGACAGCTGTCCAAAAATGAACTGTCAAGAAAAAGCAAAGGTGTGAGTAATTTTTGTTTACATAAGGGGAATGATGTGAAAAGGGAATAGTTATACCTTTTCTTTGAAAAATTTATGTGTATGTTTCCGTTAAGCAACAGAGCAACCAGTTGTACTGTCAAGACTTCCTTTCTAAAATTGAATGAGAATTTGGACAGCCAGCTGTCAAAACTTATTTTCTCAAGAAGAAATTTTGCAAGTTCTCTAACACCTAGAGGCTCAGGAAACATTGCAAAACATGGGGGAGTGGAGGATCTTGCCACAAAGTGTGTGCAAATCACACTAGCCCCTTTTTGTGAGTAAAGATCACTCATACATTTTCTTTCTCATACCAGCTTTTCTTTTGACAAATGTAAAGAGAAACCAAGCTGGGGCAGAGGATAATTTGGAGCCTCTTCTGGGGAATGTACAAGTTAATATCTGCTACAGCCTGGAGGGAGGGACTCCCCGAGGACATGGCACCAGCTGAGACTTTAAATATAATACAAGAATTGTATATAATGCTCTTTCTCTCTCTGTGTTAAAGTTCTGGCAACTACTGATACCCCTCCAAGGTGCTACTTGGGCACTTTGAAGGGCTGTCAGTAGATGTTAAAATGGGGAGTGTCATCTCTCCAGCGAAAAGGGTACATGGAAAAAAGCTGGCAAGCCAAAAACAGCTAATAATCATAGCAGAAGAGAGAAACAATGGGAGGAGTGATACCTGTGGAAAGACTGGAGTGGGGGGGGGGGCTGGCAACCCATGATGAGCCCCACCATCTGTCAGGTGTACCCTGGGTTGTTTTGCTTATTGCCAGGGTGAGTTAGTGTGATGTGTGCATGCAGCCATGATACAATAATTTACACAAGTACATAGGAATATGTAGGCTATGGCCAGTGTCTGTGAGGCCTTTGCATTTCCAAGCTCCATATACTTTGTATCTCCTAATGCAAATCATAGTATTTATTTAAAACTTTGTATATCCTCCAGTACCAAATGGTCTCAGGATGGTCTTACAATAAAAGGAAGTGGTACTAAGTAGTATTAAGTATTAAGATTTTGCAATGTTAGCCTAGTTTCAAAAGCTCTCTACAAATGGTCGGGTCAGACTCCGGCAAGAGCAATTTCTCTGTCCCTCAAGATTTTGCCCCTTCTTTTGAAGTCTTCCTTTATCATCAGTTTTGGGAAGATTCTCATTAAATTTGGATTACATTAACCAAAGTCAATTTTTAACTTATAGGAGCCTCCTGTTGTCTTATTTAACTCTCTGCTGCTGTTAACTGCCCAGAGAGCTTTGGCTTTTGGCCGGTTTAGAAATTAAATAAATGGATGAATTTATTACTATGATCCTCAAATCTCCTTTTATTCATCTCTCTGATGCATATTCGCTCTCATGCAAACAGTTCCTGACATTCACATGTCAAACTGAACTTGAACAGAGATGCTAATCTTTCTACCCAAGCTTAGACTTAGTAACAGGAAAAAGACCACGTTTGGCTGCTAAAATGCAAGTGCCGCATGACCCTGTTTCTAGAACAAAACCCCTTGATGTCGTATCTAGAGGATGAGCCAATGTGTCAGTTGCGTTTTCACCATAAGCAGTTGCATTATCTCCACTTTTTTCCAGTACCTTTTTGTGAAAAAAATGTGTGTCTTGGTGTCTTATCAATTAACCAACCAAATAAAATTTCCAACCATCTGCCTGGGGCAAATTGAGTAGGCACAGCTGTTCCCAGCACAGAAAAGACTGTGTTCTGTGTTGTACCTGAGTGCTATGTAAGCTGTTAAAAATGAGGAATGTGTCAGAATAAAGACATTGCAGCTCTAGTTAGGCAGCACAAACATGTCTGAATAAACTGCAGTTCAAATCCAGACGTACGTACTTATTTTATTTATAGGCTACTGAATAACTTAACAAAGGTAGTGCTTGCTTGTGCGCTCTCTCTCTCTCTCTCTCTCTCTCTCTCTCTCTCTCTCTCCACACACACACACACACACACACACACTAATGAGAAAAAGTCACATTCTGTGGCTGTTGAATACTTAGTTAAAAGTGCTTAGGGTGCTTTCTTCTTTAGTTAACAGTGAATATTATCTGTTGTTTTATTTATATATTTTTGTAAGCTTGGTTACTTTAAATTTTTAAAAATACAAAAGAATAGAAAATGAAAATAGCTCACTTAAACGCCAAGACAGCATGATTTAATAGTTAATGTTAATGACTTCAATCCCTGTGTTTTTGCTGTTGTTATGTGCCATGTCCTTTTCTTTTTCTGCATTCAACTTTCCCTAGCATGATTATCTTCTCCAGGGAGTTTGTCTTCTCATGATGTGTCTAAAGTATGACAACCTCAGTTTTGTCATTTTTGCTTCTATGGAAAGTTCTGGTTTGATTTGATCTCACGAACCATGTGTTTATCCTTCTGTTGATCCAGGGTAATCGCAAAGGTCTCCTGCAGCACCATGTTCTGAATACATTGATTCAATTCCTATTTGAGCATAAAGCATGGTGATGTTGAGTTTATCATGCTAACACCCAGGTTCACCTAAGTCTTGCCAAAACTTGTGCAGAGGTGTTGGACTATACCCCCATCATTTCCACATTGCTTTGAATGATCGAGGTCATAGTCCAACACATCTTAGAGGCAGAAGATTAGGGAAAGTTGACCTAGAGCCATCTCTACTGTTTGGCATTCATCAGGAAAAAGCTGACTCTTAAGCTTTTGGTAGTGGCTGATACTGTTTTATTGATAGTGTGGGATTTCTGTTGCATCCTTAGTGGTAATTTTCCGGTTAACTGCTTTTAGAGGCTGTATGTTTTAATTTTTATTCATCTTTATATTGGTTTTAAGTTAATGGACTCCTACTGTTTGATTATATATTGGTCTAGGAGGATTTATAAGGTTTAAAAACCTGCTGTGGAGTGGGGTGGGAGATGACCATGCATGCCACTTAGAATTCTTTGGAGGGAGAGTTGTAATGTGATTATTTGTGACTTGTAACAAAAATAATTTGTGTTCTTTTGCTCTTATAGGAAACTTGACTCATTAACATGTCAAAGAGTTGAAGACTCACTGATGTACATGGGAGAGCTGTAGTTTTTGACTTCTTGTGTGAAACTCCCAAGATTCATTATAGAAATCTGGATGGATTCCTACTGAATGATGCCCACATGAGCAAGCTTCCAGGAACTGTACCTCCAGACTCCATTCTAGAAATAGCAGTCTTTGAGGAAATGCTGGATTCAGTCAAATGTGTTTTAGTTGGAGATGCCGCTGTTGGGAAGACAGCGCTGCTGCTGCGTTTTACATCTGAGACGTTTCCAGACACCTATAGGCCAACTGTGTATGACAACACAGGGGTTGATGTTTTCCTGGATGGCGTCCAGATTAGTTTAGGCCTTTGGGACACAGCTGGGAGTGACTCCTTCAAAGGGATTCGTCCTCTTTCTTATCAGCAGGCTGACGTGGTATTAATGTGTTACTCAGTGGCCAATCGCAGCTCATTCCTCAGCTTGAGGAACAAATGGGTTACAGAGATCAGGACCCATTTGCCCAGAATCCCAATTTTAGTGGTAGCTACCCAGACGGACCAGAGGGAAATGGGACCCCATAGTGCTACCTGTATCAGCCCAGTGCATGGGAAACGACTGGCAAAGGACATCCGAGCAAAGGGTTATGTGGAGTGCTCCTCCCTCACCAATAGAGGGGTACAGCAGGTGTTTGAGTGTGCTGTCCGGACTGCAGTGAATCAAGCAAGAAAACGAGCCCGGAGGAGTCTTTTTTCTATTAATGAGTGTAAGGTTTTTTAACTTCCATTCAATGTCCTAATTTGTCAAAACAAATCTATTTCTTTCTTATGGCAGAAAGTTTATGACAAACAATTAAAAACATGAACACACTATGTTAGCATTGATGGTGGGACACTCAAATCACCTCAGGAACTTTTTGTCTGAAAGGCATAGCATACGGTCTTCCCCTCTAAAATGACAAGCTGACTCTCTAAATGGAAGGAAAGCCAACTTGCGGGCAGCAATATGATCATTGTTATTGAGAACTTTTAAAGCATAGCCACTTAATACTGAAAGTATGATCGATTTCAGTAAAAAATCAGAGCTGGCATTCTATATCTGATGTTAGATGATCTTGTAAAGGTTGTGTTTTGTTTTATTTGTCCCAGTGTTACCAGTATGCTTTCTTTCAAAGTATGGTGAAAACTAGTTTAAGGAGGGTGCTAGAAATTCTCATATTGACAAATAAACCCTCACAGATCAGTTCCCAGAATTCCCTGGGGAGATGAATTAAATCAATATAAAGCTGTACTTTAGCTACACCTACATTTTTCATAAAGTTTAACCTATAATTTATATTTTCTTCATCCCTGGATTCAGTATCAACCTGATAGTCTCTCTTCCAGAATAAAAGCACTAGTGTGAAACATTATCTGTGTACAGGTTGGAAACTTCACTGGCTCTGGCGCAGCCACTAAGCTAAGGGGAGAGGTTCCCATTTCATGTTTTTAATAGCAAGGGAGCAAAAAGAATTCCCCTAGGCATAAATATACCATCTTGGAAACATCATGAGAGCCTAATGTTTCATCCACCTAGGAGTGAAAACAGATTTCTTCATCAAAATGCAAGCAATACTTTTGTATGTTATGGGACAAGATATAAACACAGGGAAATAGTAAAACTGCAACTTTTTATTCTGAGAGGGCCTCTATGTGTGACGTAGGTTAATGAATGGACAGAAATGAATAGAGCAAAGCATTCTTCACCACAAAAACTCCATGCCTAATCAAGCTACATCTTCTGCCTGCAAGCTGTTGTTAAAGGCTTGGGAGCATTGCCAGAAAAAAGCTGGCAACCTTAGCAAATATGATTCTGTGGGAGAAAATTGGATTTAAAGCCAAGGTCAAAAGAAAGTTGCATATGTATGTAAGACGTGGATATGTGAAATGAAACATATATTTTAATGCTGTTAAAACTCCCTAAAAAGCCAGACTTTCTTTACTGAAAACTCTTGGTGTAGGTACTAATGAGATAATTAGTAGCTTCTTTGTAGGGTAATCAGATAAATTCATCTATTACATTATTAGCTAGAATCTTCACCAGGTCAGATCTTCCCATTTATCTGATTATGATAAGGTAGCCTCTAGTAAGGTAGTATTTTTTGAATTTATGACCACACTAATCTTTTCCATAATCTGCATATACTGTCTCCCCTGTTCTCACCCTAGACCAGAACTGCCTTGCTGGGTCAGACCAGAGTCCATCTAGTTAGTCCAGCATCCTTTTTCCAACAGCAGTCAGGATCATTTCTCTGGAAACTCACAAGCAAGGCATGAAGGGAACAACCGTTCTCCATTTATCTCTTGCCTGTTATTGGTAGGTACAGTAACTTCCTTATTGTAATTCCCTCTGAGGAAGCATGCCAAGGATTGCACTCCTTGAATGTGCCTAGAAACTTAAAGCTATTCAAACAAATGGCCATTGTTGCATCTTGTGATGACTTGCACAGGCTGCTTTTGCATTGTGCAAAGAAGTATTCCTAGAAATTACTTCAAAATTTAACCCGGAGGCCTGGAATTCCTTGTCCAATCTTGCTAGTCTGCATACACTGTTGGTATTGTACATGTGGAGCTCCTATGTGGAATTACCTCCCTCCTGTTCCTGTATATTTATTGACACAATCTGCAGACATTAGGAGCGGTAATACTTATTTTCATACCATAAATGGTTTGCTTTCCTGATATTTGCCAGTCTAGTTTTTAGTAAAGGCTGTAGGGCAAACCAAGACATTCTGCCTGATTCAGACAACTCTAGTTCTACCTTCATTTGCACAGAACTATATTATCAAAGTGCACACACATTCCTGATGCTGGCTTTTTGCCTATCTGCCATAGTGCAACAAATGATGGACTGTGAATGCAGGAAGTTGCTATCTAGACATGTAACCAGTAGATCAGGAAAACCCATTCAGTGCTTTATCACAAATGTTTTTGTGGTCTTGGTTCAGCTACCAGTGATTACACTGGCAAGATTATTCTAGCTTTTTGCTGGTTGCAACAGCAAAGGGGCAGAAATTTGAGTGGGCAGAATGGAAACTGCTTCCCAGTTTAAGGTGTTCGTCAACTCTACACTTAAATTAGACATCAGTGAAAGAGATTAATGCAGACTGAAGTGTCATTTCCTGTACAAACTAGAAACTTTAAAGCCATGTAGAGTTGTGCTGATTTCTGTGAGGCTTGTTCAGAGTACATTGTTTATCTCAACCTTCTGTTTCTATTATTAACAATCGCTTTTCAATGAGCACTAAACTGATATACTCCACTTTAACATGCACATTTCTGAACCGTTTTTCTTGAAATGTTAAAATAAAATTATTTGTAGCAAATGTCTTTTCATTCCTTAAAAATGATTAAGTTGCCAGCTGACAAAGGAATGTTGGGCCTGTTCCTGTCTTTTACCAGTTGATCAACAGGAATCAGCAACAGAACCTTTTTGTGAGTACAGAGATGAGCCCAACTGTCTAATAGTATCTGTATATGAAATGGCTATAAAGCCACAAGAGCACAACCTGAAAAAAAATATGGACAAACTTGATGTGTAAAAATCTGTGGCTGAAATTCAAATAGTTGGCATTAACTTGGCAAGATTTAACTCAAAAAAAAAAAAAAAAAAACAGCACTGCCACTTTACAAGCTTGAAAGGAAGACAATTGTGCTTGCCCCCATCCCAAATGTTGGGCAGCACACCTGGAATCCTGGTCACTTGCAGGTACAGGAAGGAGGATCAAAGAAATATTTTGCAAAGCTTCCAGATTAATCTTATCATTGATCAGCCAGTTAATATAAAAGTGTAAGAGGAATTTAATGGGTTGCAACCTGGTTACCTTACACACATCAAAATCTTGCTTATATCCTGTGGTATAGTAAAGCTATCAGACTACATTCAAATTTCTACTCAGCCACCCCAAGTCTATTGCTGTCCTCAGACTTAATCTACTTTATAGGGTAATGGTGACAATAAAATAGAGGCTGGATTGAATCAGATATACTACCTGCTGGCAGGGAAAGGGCAGGATATAAGGAAGGTTAGGAAACTTTCTTCAGCTTTAAGTCTTCTGCCGAATGAATAGGGCAGGATGGGAGGGGCTGCTATTCAGGAACTTTACAACCAGATGATTTGCCCCTCTGGTTTGGGCCAATGGTCCATTCAACTTTTTGCTTCCAAGCAAATCAAAGGGAACAGGTTTGTTCCAGCCCCAAGCCCCAGAAATTACGCATATTTTTGGATTGCGGCCTATGTATGCTTATCAAATGAGGGACCAAGTTACAATCAATTTTTTCAATTTCCTCTCATTGTTGAACTTAACCGAACCCTCAAACTGCTTGTTTATTTCATACTTTCCTCCTGTTCTTTCCTTTTCCAGCAAACCAAACAAAGGAAAAGCAAGGCTACTCCACCAAACCTAAAATAATTTTTCCCTCCTTGTTCCTCTTTCCTTGTGTGTCAAGTCTTTTTAGATGGTAAACCTGCAAATGAAACTGCTTTTCTGATTACATGTATGCTGCTGAGTCTTTTTGCATAATGCTTCAAATAACAGCTTCCTTCCCTTATCCCCTTTGCTATTCCTAATTATTAAACTTTTATTTCACTAAATTCCTTCAAAGTCCCTTCTAGATCTGAGGGGAATTTTCCTTCCTACTATCCTTGCCACCTTAACTCAGTTGCATCTTTTTCTTCCTCCACTTTTAAAAAAAAGTCTGATACTTGCTGTAAGCTTTGCTGAACCTAAGGGCATAAAAAGCTATAATAAATACGGAGGTGGGGGGAGACTCCCAACAAAATACAGGAAATAGTATATATTTTATTCCTAATTATTTTAAACAATTATACAGCAGCTGGATCTGTTCATTTCCTCCCGTTCCCAACCACTGATGGCCATTTTCTCTTGTATTAACGATTTGCTTAAACCCAAATTCAGAATGGAAATCCAGAATGGAGTCAGTTAAGAGCAGGGACAATTACATCATCAACCACTCACTCAGGCTTCCATTTCCCATGTTTAATAGCAATTCTTAAAGTAGGTGGGAAGGAAATCTAATTTCCTTGCCAACATGCTATTGCATATTCTCTTTAGGGGGATGGCTTAAGTGACTCTTACAATGACTGCCTCACATTCAAAATATACTATGCAACTGCATGAAATGCTTCCTCCGGTCTGCAATTCAACTCCACATTAAGGTGTAACTTTCCATAAATAGTTCTGCAGTCATCCAAGTGGGGACCACAACTCCTAAATAATGGGAATGCTTAAGATTGTAACCTTAAGCATAATTTACTCAAGGTTAAGTTCTGTGGTTCTAAGTAGATATAGAAAAGTCCTTTAGCTGCAATACATTTTTAATTCTCTTTCTCCCCTTTTTATTTAACTGATGAGTTCTGTGACATTCAAAACTCAGCTGCTTGTGAATGTATTTGATCTTAACAGGAGTGTTATATAATTTCAGTACATGCACATACCCAGAATGAACCAACAGAATTGCCAACATTTTAAATACTTGTGTCACAAAGACACATTTTGAAGATGCTGTTATTTGCAATCACAGGAGGAGTAGCACCCTTCCGATTTCTTCCTATAGAGACTAAGAGTGGAAAATGCAACATGTAAAAAAAAATGAAAATTTCTTAAAAGAGCATAGTGTCAGTTCATAACATTAGTCTGGTCAGTAAGGTCTCGAGTTCTGGCTTTTACATCACTGCATTTTAAACTAAACTGATGGCAATATCTTCTGACATTTCAATATCACAAGTGTTACATAACAAAAAAGTGAAGCATATGTCTCATGACGTTGACTTCTTCAGGTATATATTACAAAATTTTCTTCATTTACTTATGTTCACAGTGTACACACACACACACACACACAATGTCCACATTTTTCCTAATTCTGTAAATATTTTTCATAACTGTATCAGCTAAGTTACCTGGAATAGGAGATAAACCCCCCAAATCTTGGCCCCTTTGCATAAAATAAAATTATTGGCAATAAAATTTTAGTATACGGTAAGAAAAAGTTCTGACAAATAAGCTGGCTATTTTAAGATATTGTTTGGTATATCAGGTATTGATTTTGTCTACATGGGCTTAGACTATTATTGGCTATTCACCAGCAAAAAGAACCCACTAGTGAAATATGTTTCTCTCCACACACACACAGCCTCCCTGATCTGCTCTAAATGGCTGGAGGACTCTCCAGAGTGAATACAGAATGCTTGCAGTGGGGAAGAGAGCAAAGGGAAACCTTGTAGCTTGAACAGCAGTCTACTTGTTCAGTGTTGCATTTACCCTATCGATTAATTACCTGGCATTCCTTACCAAATGTCAAGTAGTTATGAAAAGTAGATGCATACCAAAAAAGTTGCTAATTCTAGCCAGAAGTGTTCTTGTCAAGATCACATTTTGAAGTTTGTTCATAGCTTTCTGCGTCCCACCCACCCCGCCCCACCCACAGGTCTCCTATGCATTCAATTACAACAGAAGGCCATTTGGCAAGTGAAAGTTTTTCTTTCACTGCATCTCTATACTATATAGCTTTATCTGTTGCCTTATTAAGGCAACTATTAAAAACCAGATGGCTCTGCTGTTAAAAAATATTAAGAAAACATTTGGCTCCAGAATTGGATTTAAATAATACTTAGCTTCTGTGCACTAGTAATATATATTTTCCTTTGTCATTCAAGAACCCCGGTTCTTCCCACCAGATAAAAAAATCGTATGCCCTGGTTCACATGGAAAAACAGCAAATCAAGGATTTAACTAATCCAAAATTGGCCAGGGTCTGTGCCACCCTGTGTTAATCTGGATTAAACAATCCAAAATTAACCCACAATAGTTGTTAGGTTAACCTTGAGTTGTCTAACTCATGATTAACCAAAGAAGCCAGGGTTCACACAACACAGAGCACAAGGGCTGTATACTCAGAATGTTCGAGGAATACACCACAGCAAATTGCATTTTCAATAGTCCACCGTTAACCAAGATACTTGAGAATACAAAAAGTATGAAGAGTATAAAGAAAGCTTGGAAGTCACCTAGTCTTTAGGTTAAACACATGGTTTCCAGATATGGATTCTAAAAACTGGAATTAACATTTGTACATAGAACATGTGTTATCAAGTGCAGATGCTATGAAAAGCATGAGCAGATTTAGGCAGAGCAAGCTACTATTATGGAGCAAGTTAGTCTGATACCAGGGTAGTCTTTAAGCATTCACATTTCTCATTTAGAATCTAATTAACACATTAGTAGAAGGTTGTGAGTGTAGTTCAGAATAATATAATGGAGCTCTCCATTTTAAAATGAAACAAGCACACAATTCATTCTATACTCAATAAGCATATGGTTTGATTCTCCACAATAAAGACTTGATTTCAATGATAATTCTGCATATGCCTGGTGTAGTTAGTGCTTTTCTTTCATAAAACTGTCATCTCAGTTGCGACTTTTGGTTATTCATATATTTATTCATTAGTCTGCCTGTTTGTGGACTTGTTTACTTGCTTCTCACCAATAAAGTGAAACGGGGACACATTTATAATGAAATATAGCAGTTTGTATTTTCTTCAACAGTTAAAGCCTGGCCAAAATAAGTTTTAGAAAATTAAACATATAAAATCAGGTTGATAGCAAAGCTCCCTCATAGTCTACTTCAGGAATAAAATATACAAGCTTTACTGAAAGCACATCTTATACTTGCTTTTTCAAAGTAGATCCTACAATGTTTTAATAATCTTCATCCCTTGTCTGTTTAGAATTACAGGCTAACCTACAGATTGGGAGGTTAACCTTAAAATACATCTGCTCCTGAATCAAACTCTTTTGAATCATTGTGGGAAATAAAATGAAGAACCTATAAATGTTTTAGCATTTTTCTAATTGCTGGAAGACGTACTAGGAATACCTCAATTTGCCAACGAAGTATTTTATAACTGTATTCTTTGCTAAAAGGCAACCCTTCCAAAGTGTAACTGCTTCAACAGAAACAGACTTGTCAGCAAGAATGTAATTACTAAACTGTAACTAGCTGCAATATGGTCAATTCCAAACCCCTGGACAAAAGAACTACCAAATCTATAAACCCTGAAGGCTCCCTACCTCTGTCCCTACCCCCTGCATAACCAAAATCCAACCAGTTAAACTAATCCTGTCAATGCATTTCTGCCTACTGATTTCAGAATTTTAATGCAGTTACAAAGACACAGGTGTCACACAAGAAAAATTATGGTAAGGTTAAGTAAGCAGGGTTGCCACCTTTCCTGTAAAGCCTTCATTGGCTGCATAATAAACAGAAACAATAGGCAAAACATATATAAATGAAG